ATTCCCCAGGACTCCTGGGGTGGTAAGATATCTTCAGGGGATCATAGCCAGGTATCCCCACAGACCAGAGACCCTAGGGATGAGGAGTCACCTCCTGACTTCCTTTAGGGTCAGAGTGGGACCCTGACCTCCCCTGATGGTAACTCCACCTGGGGTCAAGATCGAGAGTTTGTTCTAGATCAAATCTCTGAGAGAAGAAGGAAGACACAGGCTGCCCACCCAGGATCCCCGGGGAGAGAAGAAGTGGCTCACAAGGTAGAGACGGAGTGGGGGATGTCTGTGTCTGGGAAAGAGTGGCTATCCGATGCTCACTGTTAGGCCTCTGTCCCCTCCCTCCTGAATATAAGAGGGGTAAAGACCCATCCCTGGGACAGCCTTGGGCACATGCTGACCTGCTCCCATGCTGATGTCAGTATGTCTACAGGGAACAGACTCTGACTGCCGGTATTACATGTGGGTGACATGCTTCTATGGTGTGGTTTTCCTTATCGATTTCACATGTGTTTATGGAACTTCTCTTGCTGGGTGCAGACAGGGGAGCCTGGGATTCCGACCTGGCTGCCTTCTCATCCTCCAAGACATTGTCGCTGGAGCAGTGTCTGTTCAGAGTACAGGCATGAGGAGAGGACCTCCCCACTTCTCATCAGGGGCTTAGCTGCAGATCACCTGTGCCCTGCCTCTGAGTGCTGCTGTCCTGTCTGGTACCTTGACACACCTTGTCTTCCCATTGCCTCAGCACAGCCTCCCCAGCGCAGGGATCAGGCCCTCTAGGGTGCCTCCAGCTGACCGAACTCCTGTGATGGTGCAAATTGAACCACAAAGCAGACCCCGGGGGCCCCACCAACCAGGGCCCCACTCGGGAGCCCTGCCAATTGGGCCCCACCCACTCGCAGGGATAACCCGTGCCCTGTACACCCACAGAGTCCAGAGCTGGACGGGTGTTTGGTGAAGACATTGAAAAGATCGCTCCCTTAAAATATGGAGCATCAGAGGCTCCTGTGGTTCAGAGATCGGCCCAGGTTGGAGGGTAGGGCGCTGTCAGTGCACGGGTGCTGGGAACCAGACCCACATTGGCCAGTCCCTGACTAAAGTCCATTTTGTGGGGTGTAGATTCATACTTAAGGAATGATGCCAAGGTATATGATTCTGAAGATAAAGAGACACTCCTATGATATGATGTACTTTTTTTTGAGAGAGAGAGTACACCTGGGACGTGAGGGGAAGGGGGAGAGTCAGAGGGAGAGAGAGAGAATCTTAAGCAAGCTCCATGCCCATCGTGGAGCCCACTGGGGGCTCAGTCTCACCCCTGAGACCTGAGTGGAAATCAAGAGTCCGCCCCTTAACCACGGGAGGCACCCAGGTGCCCCTGATGTTCTTGTTATTCCTTCCAAATGATAGTATGACTTTGCTAAGATGCCTCTCAAATGGTGAGAACATCAGAGAACACAGTCTAATGACATTGCGGATAGATTTGCGCTCATGTTATATTTTTGCATCCCGATGTCTAGTGTTCCTTCAGCCGACTTGGCAGTATAACCCAGTGGGTGTCCTTCTGATTTGTGGTTACACTCTTTGCAAAACCAGTCGTCCAGCTGGTGAGTCACAGGCACCCATAAATTAATCTCCCCTAAATATGCCTCCTTCCGGGGGCGCCTGGGTGGCTTAGTGGGTTAAAGCCTCTGCCTTTGACCAGGTCATGATCTCAGGGTCCTGGGATGGAGCCCCGCATCAGGCTCTCTGCTCAATGGGGAGCCTGCTTCTCCCTCTCTCTCTGCCTGCCTCTCTGCCTACTTGTGATCTCTCTCTCTGTCAAATAAATAAATAAAATCTTTAAAAAAAAAAATATGCCTCCTTCGGAACCTGACCATGCCCTTTGCCCCGGTTGATGCCTACTGTCTCTTCTCCAGGCCCTCTTTGCTCTTCCCCCAGCAGGAGTAATCCACTAGAGGGCACTCATACTCCTCCCTGAACCCAGATCCACCTTTCCCATATCCTGAGACAAATGCAAGTGTTTTCACTGCCATAACCCCCAACCCTCAAATATTCTCTAGATTTGCTCAAGGTGAAGTTCCAGGGACAGAAATCAGGGTCCCCAGAAAAGAACCTCACATTGGAGGAGATGTGGCAGAATGGACTGGGGACCTGGAACCAACCCCAGGTCCAATTCATTGGAGAGGGGATGGTGCCGGGACAGTGGGCAACATAGGCTGGACGCTCAGGGCCCAGATGCCCCAGCCCCACGTGTAGGCCCTGGGGAAAATGACTGTGAGCCTGTGTCCCTAAAGGCCCTGTCACTTAGGACCTGTGCAGGAGGGCCTTGGCGGGACTTCTGTGGAACCTTCCAGACTAGGCCTCCTGGATATTCCTTAGCTGGAAGAGCCAGGAGAGATGTATCATTCACCATGGCACAGGATCTCTCCGGGCCTGAGGGAGGAGGTGGTGTCCAGGCTTCACTCCCAACTCCACATCAGGCCCCAAGATTTTGGTGGAGTTGAGGTCTTGCCTGGCCTGGCTCTGCAGGACACCATTGCTGGGCTCTGGGGAACTCAGCCTCCCCACCCCGTGACTGCAGTGCAGGAATGAGACCCCAAAGTCCCTTCAGACTTGGACAGTGAAGGAACACAGGTGAATTCAGAGAGGGATGTTGAGGAGAGACCTTCATTTCTGGAGGTAGGAGTGGCTAGGGGATGGGCACACACGTGGGAGGCAGCCCGTTTGCTGCTGCCACTGAATCACTGAGAGGGTTTCCTCTGGAGAGTGCAGCCTTTTCCCTGCAAACATTTGCTCAGCTCCCACCTCGGTGCTGCTAGCTGACGTGCCCCATTCCTGTTCAACAAGACAGTCCTACATCAGCTCGTTGTCCCCATCACACCTGGGCAGCCCAGCTGTCCCGGCCTCTTGGGTCCTCAGAACAATCATTGCACCTCAGGCTTTCTGTACTGATCATCAATCATCTGCCAGGAGTGGGCAGCTGCCCCACAAAGGAGAGGATACAGGGACAATTTTAGCCACTCTGCAAGCCTGCGAGTCCATCTGTGGGAGAGGAACCAGAAAAATGACAGAACTTCATGCTCATTTCAGCTTGGATAGTGTGTCCCTGGGAAATCCACTGGGGAATGCATGGGTATTTTCTTATTTTCTAGTCACAGGCTTTTGAATTTGGGATGATGAATTTCCTTTGGTTGTCACCGTCAACCTCAACCCCACCCATCTGGGGCACAGACTGCAAATTCCACACCCTAGTGCCAGTTTGGTACTGGGGCCAAGACACTGGCAGCCTGGCTCAGGGCACCCTCCGTGCACAGCTGCTGCAGAGATGTGCTGTTCCTCCCTAAGCATCAGCACACATCTCCACGGTGCCCAGCTCCATGGTGCCTGCCCACCCCCCTGCAGACCCCCACCCCTCAGAGACTTCTGCCCCAGGGACATTATGTGGGTCATTCCCACACTGCTGCTGCCTGTCTGGAGCTGTCCAGGATCCTGTAGGTTCCCTGAGGTGTAGGTGTGTGTCTGTGTCTGTGTGATAAGCCCTTGCACGCATGCAAAATCTGAAGTTGAGGGAATTTGAGATTCATTCAATATATACTTATTTTGCGTTCAAGGATTCATAGTTAGGACTCCATATCAAATAAGCAAGGGTTCATGTTGTATTGAATCCTTCTTCTTAATCTTCCTGCCTGCCCAGTGCTAGAGTGACCCATCCACACCCTCTGCCCACCTCTTGCAGCTCCTCCCACTAAAAGGAGGGTGTTTGTCTCAGACTTGGCCATAGGAACATACACACCAGGAATCTCCATTCTCTTTCTCTTTTCTTTTTAAGATTTTACTTATTTATTTGTCAGAAAGAGAGAAGGGACAAGCAAGGGAGTGGCAGGCAGAGGAAGAAGCTGGCTCCCCACTGAGCAGGGAGCCTGGTATGGAACTCAATCCCAGGACCCTGGGATCATGACCTGAGCCGAAGGCAGACACCTAACTGACTGAGCCACCCAGGCATCCAAAGGAATCTCCATTCTCAAAAACCACCCACTGTGTCATTCTCAAGAGCACTGAGGATCTGAGAAGGTTTCCCAAAATAGTAAAATTCTACAGATTCTGCCAAGAGGACAGATCACTGTCATGTTGTTTTATAGGAGATTTGCAGATCAGTCCTCCTTATCCTAATCTACAAAACTAAAGCAAAGCAACCTAAGTGTCCATCCACGGATGAATGGGTAAAGAAAATGTGGTATGAATGTAAAATGGAGTGTTTTCAGCTGTTTTTTATTTTTTAAAAAGATTTTATTATTTATTTATTTGGGAGAGAGAGCACAAGCAGGGGGAGTGGCAGGCAGAAACAGAAGCAGACTCCCTGCTGAGCAGGGAGCCCAATGTGGGCCTCGATCCCAGGACCCCAGGATCGTGACCTGAACAGAAGGCAGACGCTTAACGACTGAGCCCCCCAGGTGCCCGGGATGTTATTCAGCTCTTAAAAAGAAAGAAATCTGGGGGCACCTGCATGGCTCAGTTGGTTAAGCATCCAACTCTTGATTTCTGCTCAGGTTGTGATCTTGGGATCTTGAAATGGAGCTCCACGTTGGGCTCTGTGCTGAGCTCAGAGTCTGCTTGAGATTATTTTTCTCTCTCAACCTGTGCCCCTCCCCTTACTCACATGCTTTCTCTAAAATAAATCTTTTTTTTTAAAGAAGGAAATCTTGCCATTTGTGACACCATGGATAGACCTTCAGAGCAATATGATAAATGAAGTAAGTCAGAGAAAGACAGATACCATATGCGCTCACTTATACGTGGGTCACAAAAACAAAATTTTAAAAACCAAGTTCACAGATGCAGAGAATAGACTGGTGGTTGCCAGAAGCAGAATGGGATGGGAATCCTAATAAAGGGAGAAAGTGTTCAAAAGGTGTAAACATCCAATTATAATATAGATAAGTCCTGGGGATAGAATGCACAGCAAGGGGACTATAGTTAACAACACTGTATTGCATATTTGAAAGTTGCTGAGAGAGTAGATCTTAATGGTTCTTATCACAGGAAAAATTAATTTTGTGATATGTGTGGGAACAGTTAACTCGGCTTGCTGTGGTGATCACTTCACAATATGTACAAACGTCAAACAGTTATGTTGTACTGGAAACTAATATAACCTTGTGGGTCGATTCTATGACGATTTAAATAATGAAACCAAAGTTCTCAAGTAATTATGTAATCAGTTATGTAGACGTGTCTGGAATCCTAGAAACAAAAATACCACTTGCGGCTCTAAGCTCCCCTCATAATTTAGCAGAAAAGGATCATAGTTGCAGCTATGATCCTCCGTCCTCCCACAATGGGGACTTCAGACAAGTGTGTGTCACAGACTGTCACCCTTTTGGCACAGCTGGATCAACAGCTCACAGGCGTGTTACACAGAAGTTGGAACCGAGTCCATAAATCTGTTGGAACGCTCTGGGCAGATGATCCCAGTTGGGCAGGCACAGCATTAAAGAGCTACATGGAGGGAGTCTGCAGGGAGAAAATGATCCAGAGGTTTGAGTCTTCATGAATCTTCATGACCCCACCACACATTTACAAGAAGGGGGATCTACCTCCAGGAATGAAAGCATGGGGAGACCCACCCCCTCTACTCACACCCATTTCCCCTTAAATCTGGAACAGCCAGGGTGCCTGAAGCCTGGGGGCCCAGCAGGCAGGGCTTTGGGGGCCACATGAGAGACTCTGCGTCTTATTCGAAATGCAGTTAGAAATATCTAAAGGGACTATTTATTCGTGGTCTGATTTGTTTTCCAGAAGTTTCCATAGCCCCTGTTATGCACTTTCTTCTAGCCCCTATTTACATGATGTTATTCTAGTGGTTTCGCTCTGCTTGCCTGGCAGAGAAGGCCCGAGAGAGAGGAGACAGTGGAAGCCAAGTGTGGTGAGCAGATGAGTGACCCCCAAGGGTGTGCACACCTTGCTCCCCAGAGCCTGTGAATACGTGACTGGACAAGGCAACGGGGAATTAAGGTTGTTAACAGGCTGGCCTTTAAATGGGGCGATGATCTTGGGCAATCCCTCCGGCTCTTTCTGGGTCAGGCTGCTGATCTACAAAACGTCAGGATTCACAGATTGTGTTGTGTGAAGCCACTATGGTTGTGCTCATTTGTTAGAGCAACAGCAGGAACCTAACACCCTGCAAGACTGGTGAGACTCTGCCAGGTCCATGTCGGAAATGGCATTTCAGACTCATGGTCATGGTGGAGAAGAGAGTAGGAGAGAAATGGGGAAAATGTTGGGGCCGGGGTGGGGGACCTGGCGAGGCTTGGATGACAGATTCCATGTGGGGCAGGGGGGACCAAAGATTCAACAGTGACTCGTGATTCTTGCTGCAGCAACCACGTGGCGGGAAAGACCTTTAACAGGAGATGCGTGCAGGCTGAGCCTGTGTGAGGACCGGAAGTGAACGCTGGAATTATGTGTGCAGTTAAGGTGCCAAGAGGGGACCCTGGGACCGGTTTGGCCTGGTCCCAGTTCATGCAAGAGGCCACGGACAAGAGGTGGGAGCAGTCCATTCAGCGGGCACGATCCTCATGGTGTCCAACAGGGCCTGAAGGTCCTCAGACTCAGTGGGGGTGGATGTGGGTGGGCAGTGGGACAGCTGACAGCACACAGACTGGAGCAAGGTCCCGCCTAGAGCAGCACCACCGTATCCCGCAGCCTGAGGGGCTGTTTGCTGGCAGCCGTGCTCGCGGCCGGCACAGGCCCAGATGTTGCAGCTGAAGAGTCAGAGCGTCACTGGTCAGGTCACTATTCACCACCTGCGTCCTTTCTCCTTCCCTGTGTTCTATGGAGATGACTCCATGTCTGTACTTTACGGGCCCATGTAGAATGAAGGGACTCTGCACCATGTTTTGTCCTCGCTTCCTCTCCTGGGGGAGCTGGAAGAACTAAAAACACAAAACAAACACTAATGAAAATCCACCATTGCACCAGGGTACTGGCAGAAGCAAACAGCCCTTTACTCAAAAGACTCATCCCCCCTTCTCCCTTCAGACACCATGTGTCCTCACACAACCAGGAACAAGAGTGTGAACTGCTGACATCTGTACAAGGTGACCTGTGAGAGTCCAAGCCTGTGCGCCTCCCAGCTCGCAGCTTCTGTCTCACTTCCTCGGAGCCCTGGCACCAAGCATGTCCTAGGGAACCCTCAGGCTCACGGCGGGGTCCTGTTCTGACGGAATGAGAACACTGACAGGGCCGTGCCAGGGCCTCAGGAACATTGTCAGGTGTCTCTGGTGACCAGCAAACCAGAAAACTTGTGGGGCTCCCGTTTCTAACACAACAGACCTACAGAGCACCTACCTGACTCTGAGTCTGTGCGTACAACGTGCTTTCAGATATATGCAATTCAGTAGAAGTTTCGGGGACCCCACTGGCTTGGGTCATACCCAGAGAGTCTGGAAGAATCATCTGGACGAAAGGGTCACGTTGGCAGTGGACTGTCAGCCGCCTGCTTTCTGACGACACTCAGCTTGTTGCTTCTGAAACAAAATTTAAAGGTTTGGGTTTTCCTGTCAACTAATTCATTTAAACACTGTTAGAGTGCATGAATTGTCCTATTTCCCCCACCACGGGGGACTATGAGGAACATCTGCTGTACTGCTTCACCCAGAGCTCTCATTTTTTATCAAAATTATTGTTACTCCTGGGGCGCCTGGGTGGCTCAGTGGGTTAAGCGTCTGCCTTTGTCTCAGGTCATGATCTCAGGGTCCTGGGATCGAGCCCCGCATCAGGCTTTCTGCTCAGTGGGGAGTCTGTTCCCCCTCTCTCTCTCTGCCTGCCTCTCTGCCTGTTTGTGATCTCTCTCTGTGTCAAATAAATAAGTAAAATCTTAAAAAAAATTTTTATCGTTACTCCTGTAGTTTCTTACAGTCCCGGCTATCCTTGTAAATATCCCTACTGATGGGGTTCCTGATAGTCCAGCAATCAGAACTCCCAGAACAAAGTTCCCAGGCTATGCAGTTGCCATCAAGCCCTGCATGTCCCCTCACACACTTGAAAAGTACATCCAGTGGGGCACCTGGGCCTCAGTCAGTTAAGCATCTGACTTGTGATTTAGGTTCAGGTCATGATCTCAGGGTCATGAGATGGAGCCCCACGTCAGGCTCCATGCACAGCGGGAAATCTGCTTTGGATTCTCTTCCTCTCCATCTGCTCCTTCACATCCCACCTCGCCAGCTTGCATGAGCCCTCTCTCTGAAATAAACTAAAAAACAAAATAAAAGGAAGAAAAGCACGTCCGGGATATAAGTCCTTCACTGCTCTTTCTTAAGCTTCTGGCTTGTTCAACACAGAGAGGATAGTGGTTCCAGTTTGTGATCTGGGAAACTAAGTTAGTATTTTAGGGGAAAGCAGTGGGGAAAAAATAACCCAAGAGCTCCGCTTTGGACATAGAATGTTGAAACACCTATTAGACAGTTAAGCTCTTCTGGATATTTGTTCTGTGGTGTCCTTACTAGCCCTGCCCCTAAAGATGGGCTAATTTCTTTCAGTCTCCCCCACCTGTTATTTCCCCAGTCTTTTGGTTCATCCTACCATCTCCTCATTTGTCTCAATATTTTTCAAATTCTTGAACCTTTACAAGCCCCTAAAGGATTGCCTTATAACTGCATGGCCCCTGTTATGTACTTTCTTCTATCCCTCATCAGCCATATTGTAATTACTCATTTCCAACGTTACCAAAAAAATTATCCTGACACTTGTTAAGGACGGTGAGGCACACTTTACTGAGGCACATGACCACAGTGGGTTTGCAGTGGGAAAGACAGATTGGACTCCACTCCAAATCAACAAGAAGAGTGGAGATTTATAGCCAAGAGGCTGGGTGGGGCAGTCAGTGGATGGAAAGTTACCAGGAGGGTAGAGTAATTCCTACTAAGCTGACTAAGGGCTTTTACTGAAGACAGACGGGAGTGATCCCTACCAAGGGGATGCTGGGACATGAGGAATTTGGTCAGATCACTGAGGGTGGGGGATTCTGGCTCAGCTGATTAGTAAGTTTCTTGCTCAAACTGAACCTGAAGTACATGGTCAGGCCTAGTGAAGGAAAAAGCTCAAAGAACCTGACTAAAGTCTGGTCCAGGAAAGAATCTTTGCTGTGAGTTTCCCTCTACCCTGTACCATTCGCCACTAAACCAAGGTGTTCACAGAGACAGAGGAGAGAGAGAAACACAGAAAGGGATAGGATCAATTGAGGGGCCCCTGGATGGCACAGTTGGTAAAACACCTGACTTTTGGTTTTGGCTCAGGTTGTGATCTCAGGGTTGTGAGATTGAGCCCTGTGTTGGGCTCCCTGCTCAACATGCAGTCTGCTGGAGATTCTCTCTCCCTCTGCCCTTCTCTCCCCACCGTCATATAAATAAATCTTTAAAAAAAAAAGAAAGGGATCAATTGGTAAATTCATAAAATTCTCTAAGGACTTGTGAGGGAGCTATAAGAGAGATTGTAAACTTTGTTGGACATTACCACAAAAGCTAGGTCAATATATTTTCAATTATGGATTAATGAACAATTATCTACATAAATGTAAATCAACAAAACTGACCTCAAAACAAAATGGATAATATGAGTAGAGCAATAACCATTAAAGAAATTAAAATGAGAGCCACTAATTACCCTCCACTCAAAAAAATAGTACCAGGCCCCAGTGTCTTTATGGGTGAGCTTTAACAACTCTTCAAATTAAAGATAATCCTCAACAAACACTTCCAGAGAATAAAAAGTAGTAAAAGGAGATCAGTTCCTAACTAGTTTATGAGGCTAGAAAATCAGGCAAGAACATTATAGACCAATTTCACTTACAAATACACATACAAAATCAAAGGAAACATGAGGAAACCACACGCAGAATTAATAATGTCAAAAAACCAAATAGACAAAAAAGTTCTCATGACCAAGTAGGATATCCATCAGGACTGCAAGCATGTTTTGTTTTATTTTGTTTTGTTTTAAAGGGAAGAAGACCTGGGTGACACAGTTAAGCATCCAACTCTTGATTCCGGCACAGGCCATGATCTCAGGGACGTGAGATCGAAGCCCTCATTGGACCCACCTGGGTATGGAGGCTTCTTCACATTCTCTCTTCTTCTGCCCTGTCCTGCCCCACTTGCACTCTCTCTCTTTAAAAAAAAAAAAAAAAAGAATGCAAGTGTGTTTTAAATCAACATGTAACTCTCCATGACAACAGACTAAAGGACAAAATACTTATCTCAATAGATTTAGTAAAATTATTTGATAAAATTCTATCTTAATTCTAAAAAAATGGGGTGCTTGTGTGGCTCAGTTGGTTAAATCCTCTGCCTTCAGCTCAGGTCATGATCTTGGGCTCCTGGGATCGAGCCCCACATCGGACTTCTTGCTTGGTGGGCAGTCTGCTTCTCCCTCTCCCTCGGTCTGCTGCTGCCCAGCTTGTGCTCTCTCTCTCACTAGATACTCTCTCTGTCAAATAAATAAAACCTTTAAAAAATGGATGAAAGACATAAATGTGAGACAAGACTCCATTAAAATCCTAGAGAACAGAGGCAGAAACCTCTGAGACCTTGGACACAGGAACGTCCTGCAAGACAAGCTTCCAAAGGCAAGGGAAACAAAGGCAAAAATGAATTATTGGGACTTCTTTTTTTTTAAGATTTTGTTTATTTATCTGACAGACAGAGATCATAAGAAGGCAGAGAGGCAGACAGAGAGATAGGAGGAAGCAGGCTCCCTGCAGAGCCGAGAGCCCGATGCCGGACTCGATCCCAGGACACTGGGATCAAAATCTGAGCAGAAGGCAGAGGCTTTAACCCACTGAGCCACCCAGGTGCCCCTTATTGGGACTTCGTCAAGATAAAAAGCTTTTGCACAGCAAAGGAAACAGTTGACAAAACCAAAAAACAACTGACAGAATGGGAGATATTTGCAAATAACATCAGATAAAGCTACGGTATCCAAACTCTGTAAAGAACTTATCAAACTCAACACCCAAAGAACGAATAATCCAAGCAAGACATGGGCAGAAGACATGAACAGACATTTCTCCAAAGAAGACATCCAAATGGCCAACAGACACATGAAAAACTGCTCCACGTCACTCAACATCAGGGAAATACAAACCAAAACCTCGATGAGATACCACCTCGCACCAGTCAGCATGACTAAAACTCGCAAGTCAGGAAACGGCAGATGTTGGCAAGGATGCAGGGAAAAGGGAACCCCCCCCTACGCTGTTGATGGGAATGCAAGCTGGTGCAGCCACTCTGGAAAGCTGTTTGGAGGTTCCTCAAAAAGGGGAAAATAGAACTACCCTACGACCCAGCAATTGCCCTACTGGGTATTTACCCCAAAGATACAAATAGTGGCGTGAAGGGGGCACCTCTACCCCAATGTTTACAGCAGCAATGTCCACAATAGGCAAACTGTCGAAAGAGCCCAAATGTCCCTTGACAGATGAATGGATAAAGAAGAAGTGGTGGATATATGCCATGGAATATTATGCAGCCATCAAAAAAATGAAATCTTGCCATTTGCACCGAGGTGGATGAACTAGGATTATGCTAAGTGAGACAAATCAGTCAGAGTAAGACAATTATCGTAGGATCTCACTCAAATGTGGAATTCAGTAAGCAAAACAAAGGATCGCCGGGGAAGAGAGAAAACAACAAAACACAATAAAACCAGAGAGGGAAACATAAGAGACTCTTAGTCATAGGAAACAAACTGAGGGTTTCTGGAAGGAAAAGGGCTTGTGGCGGGGGGAGGATGCTAACTGCGTGATGGGCATTAAGGAGGACATGGGATGTAATGAGCACTGGGTAGTATAAAACACCGATGAATCACAGACCGGTGCCTCTAAAACCAATAATACATTAACTAGTTAATTTTAAATTTTAAAGTAAAAAATGCTTAAGAAAAATATCTGGCTTGTCCTAAGAACTCAGTAAATGTTAACTGTTAGTGTTTGTCTTTCCCCCATCCAGCTAGGAAGCAAATAATCGTGGAGAAGTAATGGAGAGCATGGCGACTGTAGTTCATCCTGTTGTATTGCATACTTGAAAGTTGCTAAGAGGAGATCTCAAAAGTTCTCACCACAAGAAAATAAAACGTTATAAGGGTAAAAACAAAACCAAAACAAATCACCTGTGCTCTTATTAACCCATTCCATGGAGCCTCCCATGTAGATGCTCATATCAGGCGCTCTTGGTAAACTACGGTATTGGTTGTAAGAATGTGCCGGATTCTTTTGAGTTTTCTATCCAGGCAATAGTACTATGAACTGGGAACGGGGACGTCGTTTCTGCATTTTTTTCCTTCCCTGTATGTTTCTGTCTTGCTGCATGGCACGGACCCCCTACATCCCCTGCCTAGTGACAGTAGCCACCCGAGCCTTGCCCCTGATCTAAATATTATGTTGGCTGTAGCATTTTGGAGATACTCTTTATCAGATTAAGGAATTTCCTTTTTATTTTTGGTTTACTGAGTTTTTACCAGGCACGTGAGGCTGAAGTTTAGGTAGAGCTGTTTTTTTTTTGTTTGTTTGTTTTTAATGCGTCTTTGGGGGGTGGGGGGAACATAAGGCTTTCCTCCTTCAAGCCATTAATGCTGTGAATTACATTGACTTTCCAGTGTTAAACCAACTCTATTCCTGGAGTAAACCCTACATTTCATGCACATTATGTTTTCCATTTATTGCTGCATTGTGTCTCCTATTCGTGTCGGATGTTTGTATCTGCTGACTTTAGCCTGTTCTTTTCCCTTCTGTATTTTTTCCGGCTTGGGGGTCAAGGTTTTTCTAGCCCCACAGTAAGAGTTGGGGCTCCGTTCTCTCTCTCTTCTGTAGGAGTAGGAGTAAGATTAGAATATTTCATGTTTCTTGTTTAAACATCTCTCCTACCAATTGATCTGGGTTCCAAAATACTAATTCAGTTTGTTTGTTGGTTCATATGGCCACTTGTGTGTTTCTTCCTTTTTGACTCAGTCTGGTCCATTTTTAGAGGTAATCACTGAATATAGGGCTTATTCCAGGAATACGGTTAAACAGAAGAAAATCAGTGTAATTCGCAGCATTAATGTCTCAAAGGAGGAAAGGTTATGTGATTTTTTTAAAAAGACGCATTAAAACATAAGTGTACATGGAGAGAGAAACAGAGCCAAACTTGGGGCTTTCAGTCACCCAGCATTATCACCCAGGTAAGCCTTGCGTTTCCCAGCTTGCCTTTCGAGGAAACAAGGCTGGACTTCCCCTATACTGCTTCCAGGTCAGCGGGCTGCTTGGACACGTGCAACAAGCTGATTGGCCAGGAGCCCTTCCTACTGATGACCCTGCATGACTCACTGCGGAGGTTATAAAAGGCCAGGTCTCCGCTCGATAATCTTTTTTGCGAATGAGTCAGACACGCTGCACACGCCCTTGTTCTGTAACAATTCAATTATGTTCAGTATCAAACATTGGGTCCTGGAATTAGCGGTGGAAATTGTAGCTACCTATGTCCTGGATCAAGTAAGAATTTCTGTTCCCGAATTGTTCATGACATTACCGGAGAACCCATGGGACTTCACGGATTGGTTTAAAAAAGCGTTCCAGTTTCTGTTGAGGAAGACCGTTTTTTATGTCCTGCGCAATCTTGCTTCCATTATACACAAACGGATTGTTGGAGAAGTCGTCATACGTATGCCATATGGTTTTCGACACAAGAGGACGTTTTCTAAACCCACCGCAGCGGTTGTGGTTTAGCTACTCTTACGTCTAAGCGATCTGTGTGCTCTGGGGAGTACTTAGCACCAGGAGGAGAAGAAAGTACTTTCCTAGCTTCTCTACGGCCAGAGGAGGCTTGTGTGTGTGCTCAGCTCTCCCTGAGGCTGGCCCCGTTGTACCAAACTCACCAAGAAGACTGGCTCACAACGAAACGGAAACACTGAATTTGAATCACTAATGTTAAGCAGTCCTAACATGGCGCCCGGAGTCCGCGCCCACCTCTGGACGTCCCATGAACTTCCAGCCTGTGCCTACCACCAACGGCTCCATTCTGCCCCGGTTCTCTGAAGGAAGCTCATTCTGCTGAACTTCCCCCAGCGACTACCATCTATATACAGTACAGCGGACTATTTATGCTGCGCCAGTCATCATTCTGTCCCAAGAACTTACAGGAGCCTGTGGTTTTACCTTCATCCCCTTTCGCCTCCCCCGCCACCACCCCCCCCCCAGAGCCCATTTCCAGTTCCTCTTGAATCTGTGTCTCCCAGATTTCAAAAAAGTTCTGTTTTGCTTTGCAGCCTCAATTTCTTGTCTTGGAACAGATAAACTTAATTTCAACAAATGGAGTGTCTTGGAGTCTTACTGCCCCACTCGAGGCTGACTTCTTTCTCCTGTGTGGTTCAGGGTCTGTGGCCAGGATCCGAGGAGGAGTAGGAAAAAAAACCATGGCCATGAGAATGAGAGCTCCATGCCATGGGTGGGGTGGGGTGGGGTGGGGTGGGGGAGGGAGGGTGGGGGAGGGGGGGGTGGGCTGTGAGGAACGGGTCCATAGACTGGGTGAGATTTGCTGCGTGGTGGATTGGGGTAAGGGACTGGTTTCTGAGGCTGATGCACTGGGGCTCAGTCTTGGTGGGGAGGAGGGGAGAGTTGAAGATGTCTCCTCTCCCCAGGAGAAGTTCACAGTGAGAGAAGTGCCAACCATGAACTGGTTAAAGGAGCTGTGGGCATGTATCCCAAATGTGGCTCAAGTAGAGGCAGCTGCGTCAAGGACTGAGCTGAGGAAGGAATAGGGCTCCGAAAACTCATTTTCCAGGGGGGCCAACGCTGGGATGTGGGGGGTGCTGAAACTCCGAAGGCTCACAAGAATGCCACCCTTGGGTCAGGAGAGACCCTGTGGAGGGAGAGAGGGAATGAGAGGAACAACCCTCCCCGGGGAACCCTGGAGGTCCTGGGGCTGACCTGGAAATGTGGAGCCTGCCTGCATCAGGCTTCCTGCTCAGCATGGAGTCTACTTCTCCCTCTCCCTCTGCCCCTTCCACCACTTGTGCCTGCCCCCTCTCTCACACACATATAAACACGTAAAATCTTAAAAAAAAAAAAAAAAAAAAAGAAGAAGAAGAAGAAGTTCATACCCACAAACTGATGTACACATTCCATG